AGTAATAATATTATTATTTATTAAAGAGTAAAAGCAAGTATTTTAAAATTAAAGATGTGGCAACTTAGTAAAATAGTCAGGTTAACAACTCCTAAGTGACAGGTCTAGAGTTTAAATCCCATGGACAATAAATATTGAAAAATATATTCATGTTATAGTAATTGTCTCTGTTAATTAGTTGAATTTGTACATCTGTAATCTTCAGTTGCATTAACTTGAATAAGATCTTAAGCATCTTTGTAAAGTATAATATTATACTCATATAGAGGAATATTAATAACTGATGTTGCATAAGATTTTAGTGCAAACCTATAATAAGACCACCAGACATGGAAAGTAAAAAAACTAAAGAGTCAGAAATCTACTTGGAAATCTTAAATAAGAAAGTAGTACAAAACTTTTGACAATGCTGTCAAACTGATAAAAGTTTATAAAATACTCTCAAAAGATAAGCAAATAAACTGAATGCCAAGATGTATAGAAAAGCATATAACCAACCAGGCTACCAAAATTACCAGAAGAAAAGAATACTAAGATATACCACACTAGGATATCTGAATTGAAAATCTGGAAAGCCTGTCAGTTTTGAGTAGTAGTTAGTAGAGGATGATGAAAAAGATATCAGAAAGATAATACTGAAGTTTTGTATAAACCTTATAAGTATATAGCAATTCAATAGTTAGTCTTAATTGCAAGTGATGGTTTAGGCCAAAATAATACTAGGTGAGCTGTAAGTATAGGATACAGAATGTATTAGTGGGTTTAGTACAAAGTTAAGCATGGCTTAGTGATCATAGTATATCTTTACCAATTTACTGAGTCATTGGTAGGGTGTAGTAAATATGCATCAGAGCATTTAAATAAAGAACCTACAGATAGGTCCTAGGTATAGCAACTAGTGTAGAACCTTTGGGCAGACTACTTAAATCAAACAATGATTAAAGTTGTATGAGTAGCTAGTTGTATACTCTTTTTATAATTGTCTTTGTATCTGTTATATTAACAGATATTAGCCAATATATATTATCAATAAAATTCTGAGTCACATATATTAAATTTAAATAAAAATGTAAATATAACTATATAACAATAATCTACATAACTTTACTCTTAACTAATTTGAAAGATGATTATATTATTTAAAACAAGCTTATATTTACCAAATCTAGAAGAGGTCTAACAGTCTATTCTAATAAAGTTTTAGAGTAAAGATAAATTAGTTCTATCTATAAGTCTATATAATAACTTATATAACTTATTTTTATTAATATAATACCAAATTGTTTAATAAAGACCAAGGCCAGCCTATTTTTTTTTTTAAAAAAAACAAGCTTATATTGAAATACAAATAAAATTAAAAAAAATCTTATAATAAAATTATACATATTTAAAACCTTCAGACTCAAATAATTATAGGTTCAAAATTAACAATATTTAAACTACAAAGATTCAAATAATAATATTTAATTTAAAAAAAGAAATCTCATAGTAAATTGTAATTATATTATAATACATATTCACAATCACAAAGATTGAAATAATGTTTATCAAACTAATTTAAAAAAAGCAATTATAAAATTTTAAAAATTTATGATTAAAATATTATAAAAATAATTAATATACTTAATCTTTATTGATTTTAACTATAAAATAATATTTTGAAAATAAAATATCAACTTATCTTTAAAGACCTTTAACAAAACATTTAAAATCTTGATCTACTTTTTATTCAACTATTATAATAACTAAAAGAAATTGTATAACCTTTAAATTATAACTTATTAAAATAAATCATTATTAAGAATAAGAACACATAGATCATTTTTATATAGTTATGTATAGTATATTAAAATTTTTATCTAAAATTGATATATGCTACTAATAAAACTTTTTTCTTTTTTAATTAATTAATAAAAAAATTTCATAATATTATAAATAAAATTATTTATCTATTATAGTAAAATTTTAAGGTATTGTATTATATTAAAAAAATATACTTGTATTTATAATAAAGTTTACTTAGATGAATTAAAATTTTCTTAAGTAGTACAAAAATAATGAATTTGATTGATTAATTTAGTAAACCTATTAGTTAATTTTATTTTATAATTTAATATCTTAATCTTTAAAAATTCATACCTCAATGAATTTTTAATCTATTTTAATAATTTTACTATCATTAGACTCAAAAAAACCTACTCTACAACTTTTATTTAATGATTAAAATTAATTTATTTAATATCATTTTTTATAAAATTAAATATAAAAACATTTACCATTAGGTTTATATATAATTTTAAAATACTGTCCTCTACCCTTAAGCAACAGTATTTTAAATAGTTGAAACAGTTTTGTTTTTCCTAATCCATATTAAGCTGCCTACAAATATAAAAAGCAAATTTGATCTGGCAACAAATAAAAAAAAATTTTAAAACAAAAGTAAATTAACACTTATCCTTAACATTGGGTTGCATGTAATCAATAATTTTTCTTGGAGTTACCATCTGAATTTAGATGTCATGTGCGATTAAGCAATTATAGAACTAAGTTAGAAGAAGGTAATATAATATCTCTCTTTACCTTGTAAACAAAGTGTTGATCTACTTTCGGTTTCTAACTATAGCTTGCGACAGACTATTTCTCTCTATTGCAATAGGAAAAAAAAATCCGATTTTCATTAATTGCCTTTGTGTTACAGAAGCAACTAGAACGAAGCTACTGTATCGGATGATCAATTTTTACAGGGTAGAAATCATTGTGATAATAATGAGGGAATGATTTACAGATTTTCCCTTTTCGTCACTCATATCTCTAGCAGTACTACACAAAGTCACAAGGATTAATCATCCAATCAGGTCCACATCGGCATCTGAATCGCATATAAACCACTGGGATAAAGTAAGCCGTTATAATGGCAAGTGCTATTTTGCGCAACTCCAAATCATGCGAAAACGAAATAAGATAGATCAATGAAAACGAAAGGCATAAAATAGTAAAAAGGCTGCATAACAAAATTGATAATACAGGTGGGATCTTATTTAAAACAGGTAATAACTTAACAATCAAAAAGCCACGATAATAAATAGTAAGGGCCCGTGTTTAAACTAATGACTAAATAAGAAAATCTAAACACTTTAAAAATACAAGCATGATATCGATGCAAAAAATTTATATAACGCACAAATTCAGAAATCACGAGATAAGTCACAAGGATCGATCATCCAATCATATCCAAGATTATGTACATCCACATCTGAATCGCCTATGAACCATAAACTACGTTGTACGTTGTTCCTGGTATACCCTATGTATTTCATACTCCGTTCCTGGTACTCTACGTACTTTGTACTCCGTTATTTGTGCATATTTATTTAAATTTTTTTAGGCAACTAATACTTTCAAAAATTTAAAGTTTGCGAACATGCTATTCATATATAATATTTGCTGGTGATAATAAAACTCTTTTTGAATTTATTACACATATTTTAGCCCCTAACCTTAACTCTAAAGCTTAGTTTTTCTAAAAAATAGATATGAAATTCTCATATGGGTAAACCAATTACAAATTAATATAATTTCAATCTGAACACTACATATACATAATATTTTACACGGGGTAAATAAATTAACAAACCCATATAAATTAAGTGAATTGCTATTACCACCCCTTATTTTTGCTAATGCCACACCCCGTTTAATTTATTAATCGACTAATCGATTATTTGATTAATCAACTAAATTTTTTTATAATCAGTCGATCAATTAGTCGACTAATTTATTAGTCAATTAATTGATTAGTCGACTAATTGACTAGTTGACTAATTGATTACTGCGCTATGCAAAATTTTGTAAATTTAGTGATTTCTAATTTTTATATATATATTTTTTAGACTTGAATTAGGTTTTAATATTATGTAAAACTTTATAAAAAATGGATCAGATTCTAGGTGATATCACCCGGTATTATTACAAGTAAAATAAATTTGAGGTTAGGGGTTAGAGTTAGCTTTAGATTATCTAAAATTTGATGCTGAAAACTTTTGCTTAGAAGTCGAAGCATAATTTTTATAATAAAATCTTCCTCACTTTGTTTTGGGTTTTGAGCTCTCAAAACATGTTCCAGAATAATTATTTTAGGAGAGGATGAAACTCACGCTGTAAATTAGTAAAACCCACTATGTAAATCACTTTAGGGCGAAATTCACGTTTAGTTATATTTTTTATTATGTAATAGCGGATTTCACCCTCAAATGATTTGCGTAGTGGATTTTACTAATTCTCAACTCGAGTTTCGCCCTGTCGTATAATTTTTAGCTGTTAAAAATAATATATATAATTTATATTCACAAAAATGTAAAAATATAATGACATAAGCATTAAATTTTTTTTTGTTTTTAATGATCAAAATTTGCAAACCGCAATAATTTAATCGACTAATAAATGCGCAAATTTTGTCTAATCTAAAAACAATGTTGACCAGTAATCGAATTTCGCATAATTTTTCAAACCGCAATAATTAGTTATTAACTATTGTTCATATAACATTTAACTAATTGATTAGTCAATTATTTAACTAGTCAACTATTTATAATAACTAGTTGATTAGACAATTAATCGATTAGTTGACTAGTCGTATAATCGATTAACCGATTTTTAGTTAGTTGAGACTAAAAATTTCTGACCAATTCCAATCCTTACTCCTAATCCTAATTATTTACTACGTAAGGGGCGCATTAGCAAAAATATGGGGTGAATTTTGAGTTCAATACACGGTAAACTGTGATTATAATGTGAACTTAGCACAAATATAAAAGTTATAGACCATGTGTTCAACTATAAACGCTATACAAAACTGCTATGACGCTTTAAAACTATAAATTCACAGTTTAAATCCTCGATCTTTTTTTTTACTCCCTCATTGTCTTTTTACTGTCACTCATCGTCTTTTTACTATCACTCAATACTAATCACACCTCGCTATCTTTTATTAAAAATTGAAAATGGTTGTTATTATGTATTCCATTAAAATTATCACAATCTTCATTTTTATTATTTGTTTAATCACATTGGTTGAATCACAATCACAATTCGACTGCCCTTCAATATCAAGTTCTGATGAAGACCTGCAAACTTTCATGATTCAGCTTTCCTCACAGGATGCAAAAGAACAACATTATGCAATGTTAGAATCTTGTTATAATAAAAGAGTTGGCGACTCTACTATTCAATCGAATAATCCTAATGATCATGGCTTTATTAAAGATGTCAGCTTGGAATCATTCACCTGTTACATTGGACAGTTTGGTCCTAGCCACGCTGCTGCATTAGCTAGTTTACCTGAGGTTATTCATGTCGAACCTGATTCGGAAGGTAGTTCTGCTGCTCCTCTCCATATTCAAATTCGTGATAATCATAATGAATATCATCATTATAAACATGATAAACATAAACATGATCATCATGCCACCACGTGTCCTACTCCGACTGGTTGTCCTCCCCTTCCCTCTGCAGTCGAAACTGATGCCCCTTCTGTATGCTTATTTTTCAATAATTCTTTTAAAGAAAATTTTATTTAAAATAACTAAAGTAACGTTAATAATGCCTTAATTTATATAAATTTTTAGAACCTAGATCGTATTGATCAACCATCCCGCCCATTGGATGGATCATACACATATCCTGCCAGCTCTGGTAACGGAGTAAATGTTTATATAGTTGACTCGTAAGTCATCAAAACTGCCATACTAATTAAAATAAAACAACAATCATTCAATTATTCATTTATATATTTCATTTCATAAAGAGGTATTAATATAGATAATGTAGAATTTGAAGGACGAGCAACACGTGGACCTGTTTTCTGTAGTGGATGTCCAAACATAGATGATTTGGGGTATTTATTTTTATCTACACTCATAATAAATGATTTAATTAATCTTTTTTTTAAAAAAAAATTTTTTAGTCATGGAACAAATGTCGCAGGGATTGTAAGCATTATAAAATTTTATTCGTATACACAGAATTTAAATGATTAAAAGCAACAATATTAATTTTCAACTTATAATCTTATGTATTTACATATTGTTGTCAAATAATTATTTATATTTCGCGGCTTCTAATGTTTGTCCGTGAATATTCTAATTGTATTTTATGATGACGTAATTCCGTGAGAATTCGCACATGACAGGTTATGTCGATCACTAAGTTACGTGATTTTATGGCTACAATAAAATTATTTCACGGAAATTATGTCATCAGTAGAAATAATCAAAAATTTTATGGACATAGGAATTGTAAATGTCTATTATTTATGATTTACTAACAATTTAAATCTAATAATTATATAAACAGGTTGGAGGTAATTAACGTCACTAGAAAATATTATTTAAAATTCTTAACACTTGACTGAATTTTAAAATTGTTTCAGGAGCTCATTATGGAATAGCAAAAAAAGCATCTCTAATTTCCATTAAGATTTTAAACGCAACGAATAGATACTTGAACAGTGATTTGCTTAGTGCATTAACCTACATAGGAAACCAACACAATAGTAGCCCTAACAAGAATACAGTGATCAAGTAATATTTTATCTATTCCTACAATTAGATACTCTGTTGTTGCAATAAACCTTGATTGATCTATTTTATAGTATGTCTTTACAAAGTGATCTTTCACAGGCTGTGAATAATGCAATCAGACAACTAACTACATTGGGAATCCATGTCATTGTTGCTGCTGGAAATTTTGCAAAAGATGCTTGTACAATTACACCAGCGTCAGCACCTGATGCCATAACAGTTGCTGCTACTGATACTGATACAGATACCATTGCTGATTTCTCAGACTTTGGAACATGTGTTAATATCTTTGCTCCAGGTAATAACAATAAATTAAAATTTGGATAGCAACGGATTCGTGAAATTGATCCTTTATTTAAATTGAGATGTTAGCTTTAACATTCTGATCGGGTCCATCTTAATCTTGTTTCTAATGACTATAGTCTTTATATTTAACTGGTCAAGACAGGTCTAATCTTAAGATTAATTGTTATCCGTTAGTTTAAGGCAGATTGCCCTACCATTCTTAATTTAAATATTTGAACTTAACTATAAACAGGTCTTTTTTTTTTTAAAAAAAAAAAAAAAAAAGTTAGATTGCAGGAAAAACATTCGTTATTAAAAATGCTAAATAAATGATTTGATTCCACGAATTTGTCGTAATGAACAGTAAATACTTTTATATCTGTATTAATTGAATTTTATTTTAATAACTAGGTACAAACATCGCTGCAGCTGGAAACAAGAATTCCTCTGCTCTATCAATTTATACAGGAACTAGTCAAGCAACACCTCATGGTTTGTAATTAAAAATATTAGATTAAGCAAAATTTTTACATAAAATTTAAATTTTCTTCTATTTAGTCGCGGGAACAGTTGCTTTAATCATTGCATCTGGCGGAAATAGATCTCCAGCTCAAATGAAGATAGATCTTGATAATCTATCAACAAAAAATATAGTATTGGGTAACATTAATGGATCTCCAAACAGATTTTTACGTGTTCCTTATTGTGCTGCATTCTAGAGAAAAGGTCATCATCATTAGCTTTTTACATCTTTAAAAATGAATTAACTTAATCTTATTTTATTACTTTCAATTTTATTCGCTTTTTTTATACGTAGAAGTTTATTTTTTATTAGGAGTTGAACTGGCTAAATTTTAATAGTTTAATGTAATATAATATTAAATTTGAAATGTTGGTGTAGTATTTGACACAAGAAAGCCCAAAATCATTTTACATACTGAGAACATTTTATAAAAGATTTATTATCTAAAACGTATATAAGTTCATTTTAGATCGATTATTTCTTTATTTTATTTTATTCATTTATATTTTTTAGTTTAGTTTTGGAAATTTCTTTATTTTAGTGTTCCGTCTTATTTAAACCACATTTAAAAGTTTTTTTTTTAATTTACTAAACCAGAACAATGATCATGTGCTCAGTTTATGTATATCGAGTAAATAAACAAATTTTCTTTCTTATTTTAAACCATTACGGTGCGAATATTGACTAAGGATGACAACGAAGGTATTTTGACGTACCGAAAGTCGAAAGCCTACTGAAATTCAAACCATTAACGAAACTCAAAAGTCCTACCGAAAGTCGGAAGTCTTCTGACACATGTCACATGACAAACTTCACAAAAGCCTATCCCCTGACACAAAACTTTCATTTTTGATATTTGAGTTCTCCAACACTTCAACAGTTTATTTCACAAGTTTTTTTTTATAGATTATATTAACATTAACTTTAAATTCTAACTTGGCCCTAACGACAATAGGCAGAATTGTTTTGTTGGTGAAATAAGCATGTACAGTGGGGTACCATATTATTGTGGACATTTTTTAAAAATTTATATTGACTTAAATAAACAAGATATAGAGTTAAAAATTATATAAAATATTATACAAATCTAATGCTTTCAAATAAAAAAAATATATAAAATTCTATACAGTACTTTTTAAAATAATTAAGTTTAAAAAATTTAAAATTTTTTCATTTATACTAAAACCTAGTTTTTAATAAAGGTTTAGTAAATATTAATTTTAATTTTTAGTACATATTCAACATAATTTTTTATTAAGTAAACTAAGCTTAATTATTATGTAAAATTTGTTTAATATAAAAAAATACACATATTTTGAAATTTTGAAATTTTTTAAAAAAATATTCATAAAATTATTAAAAATAGTAAAAATTACTGTATTTGGCAATTTGTTAATTTTAAATTTAATAATTTAATCTTTATATTTAGTAATAATATTTGTTTAAAATTTTTTAAAAAATTTTAAAAATTTAGAATTATATGTAATTTATTATATAAACAAATTTTATTTAATAATCAAATTTAGTTTACTTAATAAAAATTATGTTATTTTATAAAAAAACTTAATTTTAACCAAATTTGTAATTACTATTTTTGTATAAGTGTAAAAGTATATAATTTTGTATAACATTAATTATTTTAACAACTACTACATAGAATTTTATAGATTTTTTTTATTTAAATGTTTTTGATTTAGGTAATTTTTTATATAATTTTGAACTTAATATCTTGCTTATTTAGCTCAATATAAAATTTTAAAAGTATCTATAATAATATGGTATTTCATTATATATACATATATTTGTGTTAAGTTATATTAACCTTTATCGAAATTGCATTATATAATATGTTCAAAAAATGACTTTACTAAGTATAAATAGTAATTAAGTTTTGATTTCAATAATGGTTTTGATTTTTAAACATTTCAGTAAACCAAATCATATTTGAAAGTATTTTTTGATAAACTTTTAATTTCTTAAGTAATCCTGATCTTATAAAGGTTTTAACTTAAGGTACTTAAAAAATAACTAGTAATACAAGCTAATAAAAAATTCATGAACTGGAGTTGAGGTCAAAAAAACTTAGGTCAGCTAGCTGAGTTGATTATTTTATAAATAACAATATTTCAACTAATTAAATCATAAATTAAGCTAAATAAAATATAATATACTATATACTTATTAGCTAACTATGATTATTTGCAATTGAATTTTTGGTTAACATCATTTTTTAGTACTCAGAAAAGAGTTGGTAAAGGGATACTGAAATGAATAAATAAAATAATTAATCTAATTTAAGTAGAAATTCTATTATAACAAATTAGTTTTTAATTTAATATCTATTGAAGTTTAGTCTATAGAATTTAATTAAATTAGTTGAAGTTAATTAGTTAGCTTACATTAATATTTTAAACTTGAATAAATAGAAAATTTCAAATAAATATATTTCTATTATACAAAATACAAGATAATTTATCAATATAAATTATATTATTTTGTAACTTTAAAGTAAATAAAATAAATATGTTATATTGATTTTAACAAGAAGCATTTAAATATTTATAATAGTTATTTATAATTAAAGTTTTAATTTTAATAAATAAAATTATTCTGATAATATAGATCAGATATATAATTAATTACTAAATAGATTTATTTATATATATTAGTATTATAATATTATAATTTACTAATAATTTATTTTACCAATTGTTAATTTTTTATTAGTTATTTGTTTAATAATATATAAAAGCTTAAACATATTAATAATTAAGTATTATTATAAAAGTCTTAAGAATGTTAAATAATATATTAATATTTAATTACATATTTTTGTATACAAAAAATCTAAACATAAAGTTTTGAATAAAAGATAAAAAGAAATTTTATTTTAATTCAGACCAAAATAACCCTTCTAAAATTTAAAGTTAGTGCAAATCATTAATATTAACCAGGTTTTAATATTAAAAAATTCTAATTAGTATAAATATAATGTTGATCTGTATTAACTCTAAATTTTTGAAAATTTTATTTTATTTAGATCAAAATAGAATTTTCTAAAAATAAATTGCAACTTTAAAATAAATTTTAAAATAAATAAAATTTTTATTTTATAATAGAACAATATTTTTATTTTAAAATAAATTAAAATTTTTATTTTAAAATAATTAAAAATTTATATTTTATTAAAATTTCTATTTTAAAATAATTAGAAATTTATATTTTAAATATATTTAAATTTTTTATTTTTTTTGTATTTTTTAATTGTCTTATCAGTGCTCATATACAAAATTTTGCTAATTAAAACATTATCTATTTCCAGTAATTTACCTTTTGAGATTGCAAGTTCAGTATTATTTAAGTACAAAAACTGTACCCAAATGCAACTTGTTACACCAATCTATACCTAAATTAAAAGACTTTATTAGCTTTATTAAAAACTAAATCAGTATAAATTAATTTCTTTCTGTACTAATTTGTTAACATCTTTATTGATAATTGATTACTTTTTTCTTATTCTTATCTGCTTTGATCTTACTTAATATGTCTTCTTATTTTCTCTTTTGTTTTTAATTTTCTTTAAACTATAATCTTCATTTTTCATTTTCTTAACTCTATTCTACTTTGCTTTCAATGTTATTTCATTCTTATTCTCTTATTTGGTTACTATTTTACATCTTTTTTATTATACTTCATATCTAAATATCTCTTTTACAACTTTGATATATAGTTTTACATTATGTTTATACCTTTTATAAAACTTGTTTTGCATATAATTTATTAAACATACTCCTTATTAATATACCTTGTATATACAACTCTCAATATCTAATCTTATTTACTTCAATTTTATTAACTAATATTGTTTTAAAATCAAGTTTTGTTATCTTATTTCTATCTAATTTATCAAGCTTCTTCTACACTAACCAATATACTAATTCATTAATATTATTCTAATAATTACTATATTCTCTATATATAAGCAGATGAATTAATATTTTTTAACTTAAATAACATTCTTTGCATTTATCTAATTATATAAGTCTGATGTTTTTTTCTTTAGTATTTTAAAAATTAATAAATTATTGCTTATATATTTAATTCTAAATAGAATTTTTTTACTCTCTTCTAATAATTTATATTTAATCTTTATTAAATTTCTGTTCTCTTTTTATAATGTTTTTTAAATTTTTTGTATTTTAGAATTCAGTTCAAGCTTTTTAATTGTACTTAAACATTGTCACTCAGCATCATTTATTATATTTTTAATACCTTAACAAATTTTTTTGTAAGTATTTTATAACTAACTTTTTCTAATATAATATGCATAAAAATTAATAATTGTTCTCAAGCTCAAATCTAAGCATATACTAAGTAGTGTGTTCTTGTTTATAAGTTTTCAGCTCTTTTATTCTATACTATTATACTATATGATTTAATTTTAATTAATACCAATTTAATAGTCTTTAACTTATATATATATTTAATCTTTATCACTAATCTTAAAGTTCTTACTCTTGCTCTATACTTGAATATTGCACAAAGATTTTTTTCTTTTCAGATTTGCAATTACTACAATATTATATATTTAATTTAATAATTACTTTATTATTATAAACTACAACTAAGACTGTTATCAATACTGCAGTTAGTTTTTTTTTATTTATAATAACTACTTTTCTAATTTAATTTTTTTTTATTATAACTTCATTTTTATCTTTACTAACCTGCATTTAACTTGCATCTATTTTATATCCTTGTTCTTCTTTTACTAATAACATATTGATATAAAACTTGTATTTTAAATATTCTAATTTAATATTTTTTTCTAACTATCCTAACAGCAAATTTTCTAGATTATTGTTAAACCTTTGCATCTTTACTAAACTAATATTATGCATATATATTCTTATTATTTTATTTATATCTCTTTTATTATTCTTAATGTTTTTTTTTATATAATTCTTTTTATTTCCTTTTAGTTCTTCTAATAAAACTAAAACTTTCTATTTATGCTCTTGTCTTATTCTAGCAGCACATCTATTATTGCATTTTTCTTAACTCAATAGTTACAATTGCTTATACTGCTTTTATTATTTAAGTTGCATTTAGAGCATTCTACAAGTACTAAGCAATTTCTTTTTTTAACTTGAATTGTGTTTCTGTAATTTACAAGTATTTTTTTTCTCTTTTTAT